TGAAATGCAAAAACAAAAATATTCACACTGGTATGTAGCCTACGTAAAAAAAAAGAAAAAAAAAAGAATTTAGGCTATTATGACTGTTGTCTGTGGCCTCAATACTTGCATGTTATTTGTGAGGCTTTATTTTTTACGCTTTTGGCGCTATAGCGAGCGATAATAAACTTGCGTTTATTAACAGAATAATGCGTCTTTCGGAAGAACATTGTAGCCGGAACTACTACTCTCTGTGTACTAGGGCTGTCACTTTTGAGAAAAATCTAATTCGAACGGATATCGAATATCAAGCAATGTATTCGAATATATTCGAATATCTACGAGCCCCGCCCACCCACCAAAAAAAAAAAAACAAAAAAAAACCCACCGTAACGGAGATCACACATTTATTAACAGTCTGACAGTCATAAACAGGACTCAGGCCTGTCTGAATTTTTTTTTTTGACTTAATGTTTTAAACAGCAGGTTTTCAACTTAATCTATATAAAGTGCCAGTATGCATAGCCAATCACAAAATTAGGCGCTACATGGGGAAAAACTGAAGCGGAACAGCACGGCACAAACAATAACGTGACAACTTAAACAGCAGCAGGAGTAAGGCCTATATAGCCTAGCCTAATTCATGTCCTAATATTGTTTGCTAGAAACACCAATTTATCAACTTGATCTGGATCAAGTGCGGCTCTCCTTTTATTGACGATGTTCTCCGCGGTGGAGAACACGCGCTCGGAGCGCGCACACGTGCCTGGCACACATTTGCGCGTCTTTGCATGGACCCTTATAATCGGATTGACGGCTCAATCGGACTAAAAAACCTTCATGTAAACACCTTAATCGATCCGATGGTTTACTCCTTTTGTAATCCGATCGAGAGAACATGTAAACACTTGATCGGATTGAAAACCGAAACTAAAAGGACTGCGCATGTGCAATGACGTTTTACGCACGGAGCGAGCTGTTCTTCCTGTTGAATAAAGTGTCATATAAATGAGTGTTCCGTTATTTAAAAAATCTCATTTCACTGTGAAGTTAAGCAGGACAACGTCCCACCAGTGCTTGTTTCAGATTCTCATCAGCAGACGACTGGTTTTGGGCGCGGGGTTTTACTGCGTGATCAACAAGCAGCACGGCAAATCATGCTCATCGTCTCCAAATCATGACCAGAGACGGATAAATATTAAGTCTGCTGTTTAAAACAAATAAAGAACCAATAGAGGAGAATAGTTATGCGCGAACAGCGGCATATTCGTGCAGTGTGCGCATGTCAAAAAAATCAATTCCGATTTGAATCTTGTGACATATAACGCGCACATTACTTTATGTATCGTTCATGTAAACACCGTGTTCGGATTCATCAATCAATTGTCTATTTCCAGACACTACTTTTTAGATGAGTTGGGGTAGAAATTGTCCGCTCAGGCTGGCCGTTCTGCGCGTTATATCTTCCATTTTCAAAACAAGGTGGCTATTGGCTATTCGCTTGATTTGGTCATGAGCTTACGCTACAATACGTTTAGAGTGCCAGCTACTGGATGAGATAGCAAACAATAAAATAAAAAACAAACGGTCTAAATCATAGACTGTAAAAAATGCGCTAAACATGGCATTTTAAAAACCGGTTAGTTTATTTATAGTTCGATTACGGATATTTCACGTCATGTTCGAATGCATATTCGAATATCGAATAAAAAGTGACAGCCCTACTGTGTACGTCTATGACGAGTCACACAGGTTCTGGGCTACTCCGCAGCGGCAGCGATCCGAACCAGTGTAAAATAGTCCCAATGTAAACACTTATTATAGGTGTACCATAGTGGTTCAGGATAAGACAAAAACACGGATTGGAAAATGGATTCATGATGAACTCGCTCATTATATACATTTTGTAAATTTTGAACAGAAAAAAGTTAAGGACTTTTATTTAATGCTCATTGCTCAAACCTTTCAAAATATGACGCGACCCCCCACAGAGCTCGCTGAGGCCCCCTTGTGGGAACCGATGTTCTACACAATTCATTCAGTTCTGATTGCTGTGCAATGACAGTAGTAACACCAAACCGAAAACTGAAAACCGAAAACAAAATGTCATTTCGAGCTATAGTTTGCTATCACACCCCTTGTGGCAGTGTTGAGAATGCTGCACGGACGTGCATTGTGCTATTAATCGACTCCTAAATCATTTTAGAGAACTTTCTTTGGGGGCGGTTCACGTAGAATATTTTCTTGCGTCAATCTGTGCAGTTTCTTATTGTGTTTCTGTGTAAACACCAGTGTTGTTATTGTTCAGTAAAACTACTGTAAACCCTAACGCTCAAAATAATTCATTGGTTTGAGTAGGACTAACTTAAATTAAACTAATTAGTTCAGTCAAATTAGCTTTTATGGGTATTTAGCACTTTCTTTTTCTTTCAAGTTCACATAACTTATATATTTTAAGTAAACTGAACTTTCATTGTTTTGAGTTTTATAAAATGATTTATTTTAATTTAGACGAACCTAAGTTTAACAGAAACTGGGCTGGGATTTTTTATTTCCCAGCATGCTTTGCCCATGGCGCTCGAAAGGGAGAGTAAATGTTAAAATTAAGTGTAATATAATGGGGGTTTTCAAATCATTTTTTTATTATTTGAAATAAAATAAAATATAAATATTCAATGAAAATTTTCACAACTTAAATTTAAACTCTATTTCTCAAAGTTTTCTATCTTCTGTGTTTCTTTTAAGTATAAACTTTGTCTTAGATGTTTCATTAAATGAGAGTTCACTGCTGTAAAGAGTGTCTACTGGCAGTGTTTTCCACTCGTGCGATATATCAGTCCCAAATTTTTCAGGATCCAAGATTAGCAGAGGACAGACAGCTTGATGTGACATGGCTGTATTTGAGCAAAACTGTAGGACAGGGCAAAGCTAATTGTAGTAATTGAAGAACATGTTGTCAGAGCTCATTGATTTCCATTGCATGTTTCTGTGGCCCTGATTCCATTGATGAAGAAGAAGAGCAGACCTCTTTATGACCACACGTGTATCATTTAAGCACATTTGTAATCATTAAGATTTCATTAGGTTCCTTTGTCCAGGAAGTCATTTGTCTCTTTGCTTAGCGGGCCATTCACAGCCGCGCGAGACGCTAATTCAATCTTTTTACACGTGTCCATGTTTTTTTTTTTTCATGGACCAGCCTGTGTGGAATATAGAGCAGCGTGCATTTAACTGCTGAATGTGAGCTGCTAGACAGCATTTTAAGGCGTTATAAGCGTGCTCCCAACAGTCCCATGATCCATTACCACAAACTCAAGTTCTTTCAAGATGGTGGAGGAAGCAGCTGTAGATATATTTTATTCATCATGGAAAATGTATAAAAATAGTTCGATCAAATTGTTCAGTAAATGGACAGTTTTTCTCCTATATGTGCGTGTGCTACTGTATTTATTTGTCATGCTTATTATTTCACGAGTACTGCTTTGTTAGATTAGCAACATGCTAACATCAGACTCTTGCGTAGCACTCCTGTTGACCATTGTATAATTCATAGCTGTTATGTAATTGAAACATTCAATGTAGTAATCTATAAATCACTCTTTTCAGTTTATTGTTATTTTATTAGTCATTATACTTGGTTAGGGTTAGAGTGAGTAGCGTAACCTACTGAAAGTCCATTTACATTAGAAGTAACACTGCAGATACGTTCTCTGAATACAATGTGGTGTTGATTCTCAAGCCAGTTTATCTTGTTTTAGAGATTTTTAGATATTTTAACTAGAAAAGAATATAAAAAAACTCATGAGTATAGAACTTTTGCCATTTTTGTGCAGTATATTGCAAAAGTAGTATGAATAGTATGTAGACCACCATGGTGAACATCAAGTAAATTCCAATCAACCAATCAGATTTGAGGGACAAGTTTACAGTTTATGTCAAGTTTAGGTTAACAGCCAGGGTTAGGTGCTTCTACATCAGTGTTATTCACCTATCATTTCCCTATGATTTAAGTTAGAGCTATTAGGAATATGTTTTCATACAGGATATTGTTCCAGGATCAACAAAATATGTTGGAAAATGTGGAACACGTCTGTCGGTAACGGTAACCAAGGTGTAACCTGATCTAGAACTTTTACCTAGTAGTTTCTTGTGTATTCTTGGTGTAATCTTTGACGTTTGAAGGGATAGTTCACCCTAAAATGAAAATGAAGTCATAATTTACTCACCCTGGTGTTGTTCTAATGCCGTATGCCCTTCTATCTTTTAAAGACCACAAAAGCAGATTTTTTTTTGTCCATATATAATATAATATATATAATGGCAGTGAAGTATCAGTGTTTTTGTTAATCTTGATTTCACACAACCCCCAGAACACTTGGAACATACGGCATGGGATCATTCTCTGATACTTTTGCGTTTTTTTCTTTTTTAAAAGCTTGATGCTGGTCGCTATTCACTGCCATTATGTGGACGAGCGCGAGGACATTAAAAAAAAAAAATCCTCTTTTGTGGTCCGTAAAAGAAATTAGTGCATACGGCATTAGAACAACACCAGGGTGAGTAAATGATGACTTTAATTTCCTTTTAGGGTGAACTATCCCTTTATGGTCTAAGACCTTGGAAGTCTCTTTTCACATTACATTAACTGCAGTACGTTTGCTTCAATGTGAGAGAACTAGCGACAGTTGTTTACCATTGTAGAGAGACACGCTGTAGTAGTTGAAGATGCTGTTCATCATTTCATTTATACTTGTTTTACTACTAAAACGTAACGCCAGAACATTGGGCCCATCCCAAAAGTTTACTGTGAAGCACCCTGAGCTGATTGGAGGCCTAAACCCTTTAACCTTTAACCTTATTCTGACCTGAATCTCCGCTCCCCTTCTCCCTCCACTTACCTAACTCTCTACTTTCTCTTCTCCATCGTCCATCCATCCATCCATAAACCCATGCTCTACTCTTCCCCTCTGCCGCTCCTCCTTCTCTCTTCACGTCTCTCCTCCATGGGGAGTCACTGACAGTGAATTTACGTCCAAAATGAAAAACAGGCAAATGGAACCGGCGGCCGGGGGCAACATGACCAAGAGCACCAGCATCGGCGGGGACATGTGCAGTCTGGAGAAGACCGACGGCAGCCAGTCAGACACGGCCGTGAGCCTGGTGGGAACCGATGTCAAGAAACGGCGCTCCAGCATCGGTGCCAAGATGGCGGCAGTCGTGGGGTTGAGTCGAAAGAGTCGCAGCGCCTCGCAGCTCAGCCAGACAGGTAGGAGCCCAATCACGTCTGTCCGTCTCTGTCCTCATGTTTGTCTCTAACTCAGCATCCGTTTATTTTCCTTTTGTTGTCCGTATGTTCTTCTCAACCCCTTACAGTGAGTACTTTTCTAGCATCAGCTCTAACAACCTAACAACTTTTGTTTAAACAGCCTGTTTCTCAAAGTGTAAATTGGGTCAGTGCAGGACCGAGGACCACCGAATAATTGAGACCCTCTGTTTTACACCTCTCTCTCTCTTTCTTTCTGTTGCCGTTTCTCTGAAGTGACAAAAGTTCTCCAACTGTTTGCAGCTTTTTATTTCAGCCGAGTGTGTGATTGATGAATATCAAACTGCTTGAAATTTGAATCGTTCTGTGCTGTTGCATTATGATTGCTTTATTTGGCATATACATAAAAGTAACATGGTATTACCTGGTATTACTTGCGGTAATTTCAGTAGTACTTTATTTTACAGTCCTGTTCCACATGTACATACTATGTACTTATTATAGTAATTGCAATAACTGGGTAATAACTAGGTACTAACCCTACCTATCCCTAAACCTAACCTTAACCCATGTAGTTACCTTATATCACCAATACTTTCTTAGGTAGGTACACGTAGGTGCATGTACTGTAAAATAAAGTGCAACCATAATTTCATGTTTTTGGACATTTATCATTTTAATGCCATGGTTTTATTTGACTGCATGTATATGATAATCATTTAGTACCATGGTATATATCAAAATACCATGACATTACTATAGTACATGTCCAACATGATGGTATTTTAACATTATATCATAGTAATACCATGTCTTTTTGTTGATGTACTTTAAGTTTGAATATGTTTGTGTTGTGGTTGAAGGTTGTTGGATTATGATTGTTTTATTTAAAATGGCAGGTTGCTGGTGCATTTTTTACATTTGGTAAAACAATATAAAATTGTCCATGTTGCTCATAAATATTTCATTTCAGTTAGCGCTCTTGATGATTTTATATTCCCAGGTGCTGCAGTCTGAAGCGTATCACACTGCTGATGTTACACATATTCCCAACTCTTCGGCCTCAAACACAATACTTACTTATAGTACTCTGGTAGTGCCATGGTACAGTGATGGCATCAGATGCAAATACCATGGTACTTTAATATATATACCATGGTACTGAATGTTATGTATGTGGTCCCTAGTGAAAAAGAAATGTATAATATAAAAATAAATACACAGTATTTGAAATACATTTATTTTGTACTAAGTATACTACATTTACATATATACTAATATACACATATACTAATACATTTACATGTACTTAATATAAATATCCTGCAATTGTACTTTTGGAATGCTAAATGTATATACTTAAAGTCTAAATTGGAACAGCTAATTTTGTACTAAATGCACTTTTTGTACTGAAGTAGAGCTGAAGTCCAGCTAAAGATATACTTAAGTATACTTGACTGTGCTAAAAGGGAACTATTGCAAGTATACTTTAGGTACACTTTAAATATATTGCATTTAATATTATACAGAGATTATACTATCCTTACTAATAATGATATTTTGGCTTAATATTAAGAAATGTGCATTGTGCAATAAAGAAGTACTCCAAATAAAATGTAATTATAATTTTATATCAGTAAGTCTTAAGTGATATGACAATAAAAATGTTAATGGATTTGAAGTATACTTAGTATGAAATAAATGTATTTTAAATAGATTTTTTTTTTTTTTTCATTTTTACTAGGGGTACTCCAAGCTACTTCCAAGAATATGGCACTACTAAAGAAATTAATACATTTATTCTGCAAGGATGCATTAAATTGATCAGAAGTGACAGCAAAGACTTTTATATCGTTATAAGAGATTTCTATTTCAAATAAATGCTGTTCTTTTGAACTTTCTATTCATCAATGAACCTTGGAAAAAAAATGTATCACGGTTTCCACAAAAATGTGAAGCAACATGAAAATCGATGTCAAAATTTTGTCCAGTGAAAATGCTGAGTGGCTTGTAACTTTGGAAAACCACTAGCCACCATAGCTGGGGAGCAAAAAAGTTAATGTCAAGCCCTGAATATGATGATAATTCAGCAACGTGGTAAATATCAAAGTGCTGTAGTATTGGCATCTGACACCTTCATTTTACCATGGTATCATCACAAGACTTTTAAAGGGAATGCATTATTAATTCTCTAAAAAAAATTTAAATAAAACAGCAGTTCTTTTACAGATTTATGAGTTCTCTTTACAGAACTCTATAAGCTGCTTTTATGATTCACATAATCTCTGCAAAGACTTTTGTTTTCTGCCATAATCTGTCTGTCCAGAGTTTTCATGGTTTGCTGTAATTGAGGAGCGTGAGTGTATCCTCCAGTGTTGGCACATTTATCGAATGTATTTGTGTCAGTGAGCGGCGGATAGAAACACTTTTAAAAATGCCACTGTGTTTATCCTGATGTCAGTGTATTTCTTTGCCGTCTGCAGCCCACGCTCACCCGCTTATCAACTCGTTGGCTGGCTCAAGTCTGAATGGTGGCGTGCAGGTAGATCACATGCCCAAAGAAATGAGCACAGCTCTTCAGACGGCTCGTGCTCAGCCTGCACATGGCAGGTGGTCGCTAGTGTGTTTTTAATAAGTTAGGCTGGTTGCCAGGGGCCGTAGCACTCTGTCATGTCTCGTGGGGTGTGTTGTGTCTTCGGCTTGTCTGTGATGTCTTTTAGCTTCCTTCCACTAAGAATTTCTGCTTGCAAAAGAGAGGACACAAACACTGTGGTCTGAAATTTATTTTTGTTCCTGCATGTGTGCCTGATATCTTTCAGTGCTAAAATGCTTTTTCTAAAATTTCTAAAATTAAAAAAATAAAATAAATGATTGTTTATACCATTAGAGCTATTCTCAAGATATGGTACTGTATGCTATGTTAATTTGTCATATATCATGTTTACATCAACAATTGTGAATTAAATTTATGCAGAAAATCTGAATATCGCAAAAACAATTTGTACCTAAAGCAGCGCTTCGGTCTAATGTGTTCAAAAGAACAAAATTGTTATTTACAGGGAAATTGGCACAAAATAGAAATGGGTGTTGTTTCCACTGGGAACATGATTTTTATTAAATTAAATGCATTTCTTGTTTAGTCATCGTTGACAGATGTAGTATTTATTATTACTATTTTGAATTGGCTTTTATTTTTATATTCTTAGTTTTTAATTTAATTTTAGATTTAGTTATTTTGTTATGTGCACTTGTAAGTTTTATTTAAAAAATATATATTTCTGTTTAGCATGAATATTTATTTCAGTTTTAGTTTTCGTAATTTTAGTACTTTAGCTTCAAGTTAAGTTAGTTGCTAAGGCAACAATTCTATTTTTCACTTGTTTTTGAGTTTTGAGTTGTATTTCAGCTTTATTTTCAGCATTTTTATTCTTATCTACTCAATTAGAGGCCGTTTACACGAAATTTTCAACTATAAACGGAAAGCTTTTTATGCGTTTGGCCGTTCATTCCCTAGTTAAAAAAACCTTTACCAAAATGTATTTAAAATACATTTATTTTATACTAAGCATACTACAAATCCATTAACATATTTACTGACATATCGCTTTAGACTTACTGATATAAATATTATAGTTAAACTTAATTTGGAGTACCTCTTTATTGCACAATGCATATTTCTTAATATTAAGCCTAAAATATGTTTAATTTCACTATTAGTAAGGATAGTAGGATCACTTGCAAGATATTTAAAGTGTACCTAAAGTATTTTGCACTTTAGCACAATCAAATATACCGTATTTAAGTATATCTTTAGTTGGACCTCAGCACTATTTCTAGATAACTAAAGTGCATTTAGTACAAAATTAGTTGTTCCAATTTAGCAGACTTTAAGTATATCAATTTAGTCTACTAAAAGCACAATTGCAGAGTATTTAAATTAAGTACATACATATGTAAATGTATTTGTAGTATACTTGGCATTTATTTTTATTTTTCACTAGGTTTTACATGACAACGGCATTTTGGGATCCTGAAAACTTAAATCTTTGTAAACAGGTTTCAGAGTGCAAGTTTTTGAAAACGATACCGTTATCGTATAAACAACAAACATGTGAATTTGTTAATACGGTGATGTAATGTGCATGTGTATTACGTGTTCAGGCTATTTCCTTACAAAGTGTCATAGCCAACTACTGGCCTGGCATGAATAATACAGCGTTTTATTTGTTTTCGCGGATCTGTGTGAGCGGGGATCGTTTTGAAATAGACATATTTTCTTCCTTTTTGGGGAAAAATTTGAAACAAACTCGACACTGAGAATTCCAACCAAACATATGAGAAATGAATGTCCGTAGTGAGATCCGGTGTTCTGTTTTATCTGGTGCTTTAAAGTTTAGAGAGCCGCCTGCTCAGTGTCATGCTCAATACAGCAGCACGGTTTCACCTGGATCAGGAAATCAGGCCTGGCAACAACACCAGCTCGTGAGATGTGAATCATAGAGCCTATCAATTTTTCAGGCAGAGCTTTTATCTGCCGAGCCCGTGCAGGCCTGTGAAATCCCTGGCCTGTTTCTCAAAGACCAGTCCGCCTCTCTGGCTGCTTCCTGCTCCACTTTGTTGTGCTTAATTCAGAAAGCCTGAAAGCCTTGTAGAGAGAGCATGGAGCACAGACACACATTTCAAAAAGAGGTTATTCTAGGCCTTTTCTGTGTGAAAAGATGTGTGTTTGAAATGTGCATATATATACATTAGGCTGCAGAAGATCTCCTGAGACTCGTTCTCTATGTCTAGTTCACTTCTTTTTCACTATGAAGAATTTATTTTATGGTGCATGCAGATTTAGACACGCTGTAAAAAATGCATGTGTGCATTTTTATCTGGAGTTATATGGAGTGGATGTATGGATGGATGGGTGGATGAATTGATGGAAGGATGGGTGGATGGATTGATGGGTGCATGGATGGATGATTAGATGGATGGATGGATTGATGGGTGCATGGATG